GACTTTCGAAGTTGTCTTAGCGCTGAATCTCTTGAAACACTTGTTTGCAACCAAGATTGGCTCTTGGCAAGACGTCGAGCTCAAGAGTCAACGTACCAACTCGAATCGGAGCATTACATGAATGCAACAACAGATGGAAGTCCGAGTTCTGAAGAATAAGTTATAATTTTTTTTGTTAATGTAAATATGTAATTAGTTTTTTTAGCTGAGCGATATATAAGCTCCTTCGAGGGTTTCTTTACGGTTCTTTACCTCGTCGCTTTTTTTGAACCGTCAGGATATTAAATGTGATTGTTCTTCAGTTAGTGTATTATTCATTTAAAATATTTAAATAACAACTACATTTTTAGATAACAACTACATTCCGGTACTTCATTCTTTCCTTAAACAATTGTAAATTTAAAATTTTATACTTAAAAATTTTAAAAAAAGCAAAAAAAAAAAATAGGGGGGGGGGGGCGAAACCGGCCGGTCCGGTACCGGAACCGCCGGTCCGGGAACCGGAACCGGTACCGGCCGGCACGGTGACGGTTCCGGTGACATGGGGTGGCGGTACCGGAACCGGCGGTTCCGGAACCGGAACCGTACCGTGTCCACCCCTACTTGTACTTTCAAAGAGGGCATTTTTTCCCATATTTATAATCTTTCTTATTTTATAGACTTTAATATATAGAATGATTATGTGTATTAGATCTTGTAAAAAAGAGAGATTCAGTTATGATCATATGTCTCACTTTGAAAATCATTTTATATACTTTTAAATATGTAATTTTTATTTTTATACCAATCTATAAATGAAATGAACTAAAAAAGTTATAATTTTATTTCATTTTACTTAAAGTTTAATTCATTTAGAGATACTATCTCCGTCCCAATTTATATCGCCTGTTTCGGTTTACGATGTTTGACTGAAATTATTTTCAAACCATTTTATATGACAAATGGTATAGAATTAAAAAATAAAAATTACATATTAAAAAACTACATCAAAAGATCTACAAAACTAGTAGTGACAATAATATTTTATTTTATCAAATTGCTAACGAAAATAGAGAAAGAAAGTGAATGAAGTTTGACCGTGTGAATAGTAAACAGACATTATAATTTGGGACGGAGGGAGTAGATGCATATTTTAGAATTGAAAATTAAATACTCCCTCCGTCTCCAATTAAATTACAATATTCCTTCTTATTTTTGTCCCAAAAAGAATTACAAAGTGTTTACTTTTATACCAAATGGACTCTTTTACCCTCCCTTTCTTTATCATTTCAATGTCAAAATCTCACCCACCCACCCATTCCTATACTATTTGGGGGGTAATTTGGGGAAAAAAATACTGATTTGACTCTTCCTTAATTTGGTCTAAAAGGGAATATTGTAATCTAAAAGGGGACTGAAAGAGCATAAAAGATACTCCTTAATCTGTAATTATAGGACGGGTTCGTTAGAAAAAATACTCCCTTAATTAAAAATAATTGCTTAAAAAAATTTTGTTCGAACCTAGGATCGGTCCTAATCGCAAAACGACGGAGAGAATTTGACCCCTTCTCGCCGGCGGCCGGCGACGCCGCACCAGAGCGGCGTCTCGTTCCTCATCTATCAGCCTCCATTTTGATATTCCCTTGGGTAATTGTAATTTTTCGCATGAGAAGGGAAGAACTTTTAACCCCAAATTGGATTACTTTTGAAGAGTTATAGACGGATTTAAGCAAATTAGAGGAATGAGAGCACAAAAAATAGAGATCGGGCAATGCCATATAGATACCAAAAAGCATAAGCCATAAATTATGGTAAATGTTTTCCAGCTCTCTGAATCTGCCATATATTCTCCAATTACTTCTCTTACCGAGCTGATTATATAGCTCAGAACTTTTTTTTTTTCTTCTTTTTTTGCTCCTTTTCCTTTTCAAAACACAGGTAGTGTGCAACATTGGGTGTCCATTTTTGTCAAGACATTCCCTTAAAAAATCTATTTGATTTAAGACACAGTAATGTCGTTAGAAAGGAGTACAATTGATATCGAGACGTGGGATGGGACCATTTCATCTGGAGAGTTCTACTTATCCAGTTGTTCATTTGCTGAGAAATGGAAGAAGTTTAACTCTGCTCTTCCTCAATGGTCATGGTGCAGATGCCCAAAGTTACTTGGGGTCCCTTCATCTCGAGTATCCAACTCATACCTTTCTTGATTCTGAGTGACAATGTCTCATTGGTTTATTGTATGCAATCAAATTTCATAATTTCTGTTTTATAAACTTAAATAAAAAAAATCAGGTAGAAGGATATCTATGTGTGGATGGCATAATTCCTCCTCGCAGGTCTACTATGGTATGTGCTTGATACTTTCACGGTTTCACCTCACCCGCCTCGTAGATTGAGGACTTCATATAGATAAAATGGCCTTATCCTCCGATTAGCTGTTTGTACTAGATGTTAGCCGTTTACCTCTTTGAAGTAAGCTGTTTATATTAGCTTTTTTAAACAACTTATTTTCACTTTAGCTTTTCATGAAGAAGAGATGGTTGGTAACAAAAATAAGATGTTTTTTTGTATATAAATTTTAAAATAAAATTAGAATGTTTTTGAAAACTTGGCATCTTTTTGTTAAAAGCTAAAAGCCCTCCAAAGTCCCTTTACCAAACAGGGAAGGGTGATATTTATTTTATTACTCCGTAATTATTCTTAAACTAAGATGGTTGGAAATGATAAATTATATAGAAGTACATGATTTCTTAAACATTTAGTACTTATTTTCTATGTGTAAGACTAAGAGATAGAGGTAAAGTTCAAAAACGAATACCAATCATCCATTCTCTCTATAATCCCCCAGGCCTATGTGTAAGCCCCTAATGTGGTTACTTTTTTCTTTACTATATTTCTCTGCAGGAGGATAACCATGAATGTGATGATGGTGGATTAAAAGAGACCGTTTGCTTGAAGGAAGAGGAGTTTATTGACAGTGCTGCATTGGTCTGTATGTTCTGTTTGTTTTGGTGTTGTAGGAAAAAAATTCCTTTGAACATTTACGTGAAATGCATGATCTTTCATATTCATTTTCTCCAAAGATGCAAATATGTCCTCATCTCACCATGAAGCTTCTCTTTTAAAGGTTCAACCTGAGATGCATGAAAGGTGCCACTATGACTTCCATGTTGTTTACAGCTTATCCTATGGGGTCCCTGTGCTATATTTCCGAGCATACTGGAGCGGTATGTTTTAATTCAGTGCATTTTATGATCCAAACAAGTCATTTGGTTTTATGGATTATATTCAAGTATTAAACCCCTCTTAGTCTCTTACTAACCCCTTTGAGTGCTTATAATTATAAAACAACAAGAAGCCCGGCAAAATCCCACAAAAAGTAGGGTGTGGAAGCGTGTATATGTATACCTTATCCCTTCTAAATAGTAGAGATTTTGTTTCTAAGAGATCCCCGGCTCAAATATAGAAGTACGGACAAATAAACAACTGTTGCATGGATGAAGTGCGTACATAGACAAAATAAGCATACAAACCGACTAGTGTGGATGAAATTGTTGAATGAGTTGATTTGTCTATAAATACATCCTAAAAGTACTTTTTACCAAATAGATTTACAACTATATATCATAGTATCGAAAAAAAAGTAGAACTGTAAAAGTGTCATTTTATTTCCTTTCAGCTGAAAAGTCATCTACTTTGAAAATATAGGATTTGTGGAGAGGAATGAGAAAAAATCCCCCCCCATTTCTTTCCTACATGGGCATGAGCTCATATACATGTTTTGATTGTTGTCTCGCCTTAGACGGACAACCTTTGGCATTGCACGATGTAGAAACAGACATGCCTGCAATCACAAGACAAGAGCTGTCATCGTACAAATGGACCTTTATAACTCAAGAGGTTACTACATTGTTCAAATACTCACCCTGTCCTACAATTAAGTTCTCCTTTGAATAATGGCACACATCTCTAGGCTAGACATTCTTTCCAACTCTGATCATACTTTATTGTTTTGTGACAATAATAAAGTAGGGGCATGGTTTTACATTATTTTTCTTAAAGATTTGCCTTTTGTACGAATGGGAACTTTATTTTTTAGACTTCCGTAAAAAGAAAACAAGATCGTAATTACGGGATGGAGGGAGAATTTACTTCCAGTTGTATTTGTATCCCTTTAATTTTACTTTTTAACCACAGGTTCACATCTTTGATACATTGTGTGAAATTCACGCAGGATCACCCTTACCTGAACCAGCCATGGTTCACGCTACATCCGTGCGGGACTAGTGAGTGGATGAAGATGCTCTTTAGTAGGGACACATCTGCAATGGCACTTGGTGGATTGGCTATTGATAGGTACATGGTGTCTTGGTTCTCAGTTGTTTCAACAGCTTTTGGTCTCCAACTTCCCCTTGAAATGTTTGGTAGTGGTTAAGTGTTGGAATAATTTGGTTGAGTTTTATGGCACAAATTTCGTAAAAAGAATTTGCACTTTATTTCTCTCTGTTCAAAAAGGAATTGAAAATAGTCCGTATCCGTTACCCAATTTTCAAAACATCCATAATTAAATTTTAAAAAAAATCTTTTCCTACATTTCAAATACCCCCATCTCCCTCTTCTCTTCCTCCCTCCAATCTCCCCAACAAACACCACAACCCTATGAACTTTGAAGGAAGACCATATATCAGCTGGGCTAAATACTAATCACTTCTCCAAATTAAAGATGTCGTCCGACAAGACGACGAGCGTGCACGTGACGGCCCTGGACGGGCTGGTGAATGTGAATTCACTGTTCACGGTGGCGGTGTTCGTGGGCCTGTCCATCGCGACTCCGGGCCAGAAGAGCCTGGAGGAGCGGACGGCCTGCGACGCGGGTATAGACAAGGTGAGGGGGCTCCTGGTGTACGAGGTTGTCTCCTTCAGCTTCTTCCTCTTCTCTTCCCTGGTGGCTCAGGGCCTGAAGCTGGCCATAAACCTGCTGACCCGAAACGACACGGACGAGGCCTTCAAGGCCCATGTCAATACCAAGGCCCTGAAGTTTGGGATGTTGGGCTGTGCCGTGGGCTCGATGTTGGGCTGCTTGTTCTTGATGATGTCCATGGTGAGAGTGATAGAGATCAGGCTTGGGGTTCTGTCCTGTGGGAGCAAATCCTCTTCTAATTCTGTTTTTGCTTTGGTTTCTTTGGTCTGTTCTGGTCTCCTTCTCTATGTTTCCACTGCTGTCTATGCTTTTATCCACTACTGAGGAAAAAAAACATGTGAAATTTGCACTAAATAACTCTAAAACATATGTCATTTTTTCAATGTAGCACTTAAACCTTTTGATTTTCTAAATAATATTTGAATACTGTCTAGTGGCGGGGATAATGTCCAATGATGGTGGACATTTAGCTTGAACAATGTCCAGTGGCAGTAGACATTTAAGTGAGCAATGACCAGTGGACATTGAACAGTGGTATTACTTTGGAAAATAAAAACATATGGTACTACATTAGGAAAGTTACTACTCTCTCCGTCCAGAAATAAACTTTACATTACGCGTTATGATGTTTGACTGAAGTTATTTTCAAATCATTTTATATGAAAAATAGTGTAGAATTGAAAAATAAAAATTACATATTAAAAAACTATATCAAAAGATCTACAAAAATAGAGGTGACATGACTATATTATTTTATCAAATGAGTGACGAAAATAGGCCAACAAAGTGAATAAAATTTGACCCTGTGAATAGTGAACGTAAAGTATATTTGTGGACGAAGGAAGTATGTTTTAGGACTATTTAGGTAAATTTCCTAATAAACATACCCCCTCAAATAAAGGTTTTCTTGTTCATTGTCCTAGAGTAATTTTTTTGTTTTATCTTTATTTTTCTTTTGATAAAATAATATAATATTGTCATATCTTCTTTTATAGAACTTTTGATATACAAAATACTTTTAAAATATCCCGCATATATTTTTGAAGTTTGTGTTTGCGACTTTAACCAGTCTTCCTCATTTTAAGCTTTTTTTTTGTGGGTACCAAAATATACCGATGAATATGTGGTTCATACTTTAATTTTCAAACACTTATCTCATTTTTTTCGGTGTTTCATGGTTCTTGCATTAGCTCATCGTTCTTTTTAGCCTTTTCAAAAAGTTATTTAACATTTTTAAAATTAATCTGTATTATTAAAAAATTACACTAAACAATAACCCTAATTAAAAATGCTTTTCCTAAATAAGGCCTTTGTTTCGGAGTACTCGGATTCCCAGTTCCAACAGGTTTTATTTGCTGAATGCAATCATTTGAACCCGAAAGTTGACTTAGGTCATGTTCTCTTCACTTGATCGGATTGGTTCTGGTCAGATTGAAATAGTTTTTTATCTAGTCTGATCTGATCTTAATGTAGTAATATTTAAAGCTATTTCTGATCTGATCTAGTTTGATCTGATAGATTCCAATAAAAATAAGTGATAAGTAAAAAAATAAGTTGAAGAAAACATGATCTTATAAAGGATACCCATACATCCCAAATCAGAAAATAAAAGATAGATTGATATGTGAGTTGAGGTAGCTAATTAATTAGATTCAACTCTACTCTGATTTGGCTCAATTGAACACGTTTATTAGATTCAACTCTACTGTGATTTTGCGCGAATGTACTGTCTGTTCATATTTTTTAGTTTCTATAAATATAGATACGCGGTTATGGTTGAGGAACTTGAGGTATCGATTTCAAGTGTTCGTTCTTGAATTAATGTCTTAATCGATTAAAGTATTTTTATATAGCACGAAATAATTTTGATTTGAAAGCGTTCTACGTGATTTGTAGTTCATCATATTCTTTATTCACCAGATTCTTTAATGCCGCTTCACAGAGTTATTCTTTCTCCATAAAAAATTCTTACATTTAACTACTCCTTGTTTTGTAGTTTCTTCTTTGTCAAATATTGGTCCGATCCGTTTAGAAGAAAACTATAATTACCCTTGATTGAAACCAGTGTTAAAGCATCTCCAACGGAGAAGTCATAATTTGAGAAGCTAAATGTTATTTTAACGTCTCAAAAGTGTTTTTACTATCTGTTTTTTATTATTAACTCTAACCATAACATTAGTATTATACATTTTTATTATTTTTAAAAAATAAAATAATTTATATTAGTTTCAAAATTTTAGAACATGAAAATGAATACAACATAGTATTATGATACTATGGTCTCCCATTTTTTATAATATTTTATTTATTTTTATTTATAACATTTGCAAAATGGACATGTATAATTAGTTGATGCAAAAGCTAATTCAGCTTATTAGGTAAAAAATGCACGCTCATTGGAGATCAAATTTTACTATTGGAATATGTAAACCTGCTATATTTCAGCATTTGATTTCTTCATTAGAGATGTTTTAGTTTTCTCCACTAATCATAATTAAGAAAAAGCAATTTTTTTCCTCGAATTTATGTTTATTTTATAGGCTTTCACCTTTAGAATAGTTTTATGTAATAAGTGTTGTAAAAATTTGTACAAATAAAGACAACAACTACAAATTCATGGAAAATATGTACGAAAATTTATATTTTACGGAGTACATGTTTAATTGGATTAGAGTAATGCACTCAACAAACCATAAATGATCCATCTTTAGTTCTCCCTTCGTCTATTAATTTTTTTCCATTTTTTTTGTGCCGTTCAAAAATTACTTTCTTATTTTTTATTTTGATAAATTTTTTTAATGAATACTCCCTCCGTCCCAAATTATTTGCCACATTTGTATTCCCAAGGCAAAATATCAAGTTTTTTCAATTCATTTTATTTACATATTAGTATAAAAATAAAAAATAAAATTTACATATAAAAAAACTACATGAAAAGTTCTTCGAAATAAGAGGTGTCAAGAATATTTTATTTTATCAAATAACCAATGAAAACGTCGAAATAAACAAAAGTTCCCACGACGGCTGAAAAAGCAAATGTTGTGAATATTTAAGGAGGGAGGGAGTATATCATTATGTCCCATTTTTTATGTATACTATTTACTATAAATTGTTCGAAAATAGAAAATTTCCAACTGGGTTTTGTAACAAGCTTTGCGCGAGGAATTCGCCGCCACCTGTTTTCTTCCATCTAGCCGGCGGCGGTTGGGTTCGATGTTACAGAGACGTTTATTCTGCACCATCGCCGAAGCCAATTTGCACCCGAACTCCAACGCCGTTCAGAACTGCGGTAAATGGGGGATCAAGCAAGTCACCAAGTCCAACTTCTCCGAGTCACTGGACGAGATCGGAGCCCGAATCGCCGATTCCGACTTCATCGCCGTTTCCTTACAGACGACCGGAGCTTACTCTTCTCCATGGAAGCGTCATCTCCCATTCGACACCGCCGAAATCGGTTATCTCAAAGCCAGACACGCCGCGGAAAGGTTCCAGATTCTTCAATTCGCCGTTTGCCCTTTCTCCTTCCGGGCCTCCAAAGTCATTGCTCACCCGTAAGTTTTCTTCACTGTTGAATTCCTCTTTAAAAAATGTCTATGTACTTAAGTTTATATGCGTATGTTTTGTGAATTTTCATTGAAAGACGATACATTTATTACGTCTCTATTGCAGATACAATTTCCATTTGTTCCCCCGGGATGAGTTGAAAGTTGGGTTGCCTTCTTATAGTTTTTCTTGTCAGCCATCTTATTTGGTATCACTGGCTCGTGAAGGCTTCGACTTCAATGCTTGCATAGCTGATGGTGAGCTTCATTGACGTTCTTCTTTTTACTAGAAGTATAAATAATACTCTTTTCATCCCTCAATTTTTGTTCATTTTTACTTTGTTGTCCGTCTCAAGAATTTTATCTCGTGTCATATTTTGTTCACATTCATTCGTAAGTTATCTTACCTTTTAACATAAATATCAAAAACACAATCTTACTTTTCATAATTTTCGTACCTTTCTCATGTCCCAAAAAATAGAGGGGCGGAGGGACTATATTAACTCACATGGTACTTTATACATCATTTGCTTCATTTACATTATTCAAAATTTATTTTGATGTTGTAGTAACTTATATAAGAAAACTTATATTGACAATGTTTTAGCTTTGAGTAAAGAATGAACTAAATCAAAATGACTCATTAGACTTCCTTGCTTCTTGCTTTCCATGAAATTTTGGCCAACACATGCAACAATGCATCAAGGTTCTAACAAAAACAGTCTATGTTTCTCACGTGGTACGGTTGCTTACATCTTCATCTTGTGACCCCAACAGAGTTGGAATTATACTGGGGTTGTTGCTCCATAGTAAGTTTGATGCATAGTTTTCAATTTCCTCACCACCTAGTTTCCAAAAACGGAACAATTTCTTTTGAAGATCATAGATAAGTGCATTAGTGTATGACTAAATTTAACAGTAGAGATTTTAGGAAAAACATGGCTCTAAATCTCAAAGTAATTTAGGCTGGTGACATTTTTTGTGAGGAGTTGAGGGAGGAAAGATTAGAACATCATCTAATTTCTTAAGTCCACTGTGCCAGGCATATCATACTTATCCAGAGCACAAGAACTAGCTGCAAAAGATCATATTAGGAATCCATCAGCTCCCAGCTGTACAATTTTATCTCCACCATCCCGATCAGTTGCTGATTCTATATTTGTAGAAAGGATCAAATCCCGAGTCAAACATTGGATAGATGCTTGCAATGATCTGGGCAAGAAACCCGAAGGTGATTTGAATTTGCTTTGCCTAATGATGAAAGTTGTTCATTTCTGATATATGTTAACATGTCATAGATGTTTTAATTAGTTCACTGAGGAGAATGATCTCTGCAATTGAAGTGCATGGTTCTAGGCCTTGCTTGAACATAGATACTTGCAGTCAGAGACAAGTGAATCTTGTGCTTGAGGTATTCTACTTCTCCCTCTTCACACAGTGATTCACCAATAATAAATTATAGTGGATTAATCGTGTTCATCTGTATTGGGTATGCTTTAGCATTCATCCTTTGGTGATAGAATTTTATCGTTGTGTCTGGTTGCAGACACTGAAAGATTTTGTTGATGTTGTACCTCTACTAATTCCAGCAAATGGAAGTGGAATACAAACAGTCCGAGCAATATTGACAAGTTCACAAGAAGACAAGGATCTTTTTGAGGTGACACATAAATACGTATTTTATTCATGTTGAATGTTTACCCGTCATCCATCACCTTGTGTTTTATTTACTTTTTTAATTCTATTGTAGAATGAACTTCAAGACATAGGAAAGGAACATAACAAGCGTATTCGTGGCTTTCGTGAAGTGGTTGAACTGATTGCCAGTTCTCAGAAGCCTGTTGTTGCCCACAATTCAATGAATGGTTAATCTCTTTCTTTTTTTTAGTTTCATGTTTTAAATGTCATTGTTTTGGCTGCTTGCTGAATGTGAACTTTTCCAATTGCAGATTTTACATTTATTCATTCGAAATTCCTTGCTCCATTACCATCAACCTTGGATGAATTTAGAAACTCATTGGGCTCTGTCTTTCCTCACATTCTTGATGTGAAACATCTTATTAAGGAGCTTGGCTTTCAGAAGAATTTGAATAATATATATGTGGCTACATCTTACCTCAATAGCAGGTTTTTTGCCCCAGTACAAGTAGAGAGTACCCACCAAGGCAAGCACTCTTTTATGAATTTGTTAATAGTCTTACTCCCCAATCGATGTTTGTTAATTGCGGTTCCACTCCACTTTTTCTACCATTAATAGGGATATGGGATACTATGATGCATGGATTACTTCTTTTTAACAGCCAAAAAACACTTTAGATGCTTATTTAAGAGTGCACCTAATTGAAACTTTTTTTCAAAAGAGCAATTCACATACGGAGTATTTACATTAGAAAGCCGTTTTATGATAAATGAATCTATACCATAATTTACCCCAAACTGGCTTTTATTCTGTGCTAGTGGGGTAAAGTTGCGTACATCTTGACTCACCGACCTTAACAGAGATGTTAGCAGAGTATTTTTCTGGGTTTGTTGATGTTGTTGAGTTAACATAATATGACTACAGTAGTAATTGATTAAAGGAATTTTTAAATCATTTTATGATCAGTTGCTTGAACCAATTCTGAATCGTGGCTAAATTTGCACAGCTATGTCAACGGATGCAGACAAAGTCAGGAGTCAAGGCCACAGTGTTGTAAAGATAAGCGAGTTATTTGCAAAGTTGTGCTTCATTTTGAAAATTGACCCAAAAACCCTTGGAGCCATTGAAGAGGGCCATCCCCATTTGCCTCCGGCTCTAAAATGCTACGCAAATATGTTCGATTCTTGCTCAACCAGTTACCAGGGTTCTACTAATGAAGAAGAAGAAGAAGTTAGACTATGGGCAAAACGACGCGAAAGAGTTAGCAGCAAAAACATGGTCTTCCTGTGGGGATTTCAGAGTGGGATTTCTACTGGCCAGTTGAAAAGACTTCTACACGGGAAACATGAAGTCTTCGCGGGTGAATATGATGTTCGGCTGGTGGATGACAGCTGTGCAGTTGTTGTTTTCCGGAATCCGGGCTTCTCTGAAGCCCTCTTGGAAGCAATGGATGATTTGGGAGAGGGATGTTCTAGTAGCTCATTGAAGGAGATGGTGTCTGAAGGCATTAGAGCTGCTAGATATGATGTCTATGTAAAAGTCTGCAAGTTAGAGCTATGGAAACCAAACTTGGCTGATTCTTTAGACTTGGCTTTGGAAGAAGATGAGTCTGAAGATCTCTCAGGGATGCATAATGATGAAATGATCTACCTGGATGACCTCTAAACATTTCAGTTTTTTTTATTTTTTTTATTTTTATTTTTTTGTATTGTCTTCTTAACAAGAGTCATTCTTTTACTGTCATCTATGATAGCTCTCTCCTAGCTAAGAAAATGTCTTGTTATTGATAGTTCAGGCCTTGAGCATAATGCTTTGTTGTACTAGTGGTACTACCATGTTTTCGAAATTCTAGTTTTTTGTTTTCAAATTTCTTAACTACAAATTTTGTTTAAAAATTTGTTTTATTATAGTCCAAATTAATATGCAATATACGGAGTATTTTTTATTTAAATATTGATTAAAATTTATTTAGTTTGACTGAAAAATTAAATGGAAGAGAAAAATGTCAAAAGAAACAAATATTGAGAGAGAGAGAGAGAGGGGGAGAGTATGTGTGTTAGACGATGTTGGTTATTGTGTGATTATCTTTGGGAGTCATTCATAAATCATAAGGATTCGCTCATAATTTCCGTCCAGTTTGACTTCTAGGTTAAATTTGATGAATTTTAATCATTCATTAAGTTAAATATGTGATCCTTCCGTGCTTAATTTATTTAAATAATGTATGCCATTTAATTTCCAAATAAAATTTATAGATTAAAAAATATGGCATACTCCCTCCGTTCCCAATTTGATTACAAATTGGGGTTTACAAGTATAGATCTTTCACTTTTTGAAATCATTTTATTTATAAATTGGTATATCGATAAAAAATAAAAATTATATATTAAAAAACTACGTTAAAAGTTCTAGAAAACAAGAGGTGATAAAAATATTTTATTTTATCAAATAATTAATGAAATCGCGTAAACGAACAAAAATTATCGAGAGGAAAGAAAAAAAATTATAATCAAATTGGGGACGGAGGGAGTATGTTCTATAAAACATGAGGTGAGATGTCTAAGTTATTTAAACAAACGATTAACAAAAATAAGAAAAGGAAAAGGTAAAAAAAATGGGCAGTAAATAGTGAAACACAAGGATAATTTTGAAACGAATATGTTAAAATGATGAAATAAATTTATGAAAATCTTCATATTTGATTGATTTGACGATAAATGCCCCGCCGTCTCCCTCAAACATATTGCTATTCAATTACTCCGTATTTCAATTACAATTACTCGTACATTAAATTGCAACGGCCGGACGTTGCGTAATTTGCAAAGGTAAGAAGCATCAAGGAGTAAGATTCAAGTTTCATTTCCAATAACTATGTTGGGAGGCAACAATGTTAAGTTATAGATTTTCCCAAATGACCTTTTTCGGAAAAATCTTTCCATTATTTTTTTAACATTTAAAATGTCATAATTACATTTATTTACTTTATTCATTACAATTTAACAAACTTCAATCTTTTTCAACTCTTCATAAAAGTCATAATTAATTCATTTCAGAACAATAGGAAAACAAGGACAACTCCTTTATCAACTCAAAGTACTAATTTAATGAGATTAAAAAAGGACAATTCCTTTATTTATTCGGAAAAGAAACAAAGTTTTCAAACAAGGCCCGTGCATGAATTAATTGGTCAGTCAATAATTATACAATACACCGTCATCTCTGAACTCTTCTAATCCCTCTTCTTCTTCTTCTTCTTCTTCTTCCCCTCTGCTGTAAAACAAATCAAAACCCAGAAACAAAAACGAAGCGAGATTCGATCCTGAATTCAAAAAAAAAAAGAAAAGAAAGAAATCTGATCAGTTTGGTTGAGAATAAGATCAGATCGGGGCGTACTGAAGAAGATGTGCTGCAGCGGCGAAGATGGAGATTGCAGGCCACTGGGCTTCCTTCTGGGCTTGCCTTTTGCCTTCGTCTCCCTCATCATCTCCCTCGTCGCCATACCCATCTGGATCCTCGGGTCTGTTCTTTTTTTCCTCTCCAGATTCATCTTTATTAATTCTTCGGTTTACTGGAGTTTATCATATATGATTGACCCTTCTTGTTACTCATTTCAATCTAGAGATTGGTTGAAATCTTTCCTGAAACTACGTACAACTTGGTTTTTTCTTACTCGAGTAAAAACAAATCTTGATTTCGCGTTGTGGCATGTCAATTGTGGTGTTAGAACAATTGATCATACAATCACAAATTTGAGTCTTTTTTTAATCAAGTTGTGTTTATATAACTTAACCAAAAACTCAAACTTTATATTCTAACACGTTGGTGAAGTCCCAAAACCTTAATTTTTTTAAAAAAAATAACAAAAGCTGATTGGCCACGAATTATCAATTCATGGCCGCTTAGTCAATTAAAAAAAAGTTTTTATATTCTAACGCACTTATATATACATATATGTGTGTATATGTATAGGTTGGCATTGAGCTGTTTGTGCCCATGTTGTCTTTGCGTGACGGTGGTGGTGGAGTTGGCGTTGGAGCTCATCAAAGCCCCTTTCAAAGTCATGAAATGGTTCACTTCTAAGATCCCTTGTTGATTTTCTTTCATCTTCATCACCCCTGCCCTCTTTCTTTTTCTTCTTTTTTTTTAGTGGATTTGTTAATTATAAATGTTATATTTGATGATTTTGTTGATTGTTTAGGTTTGTATTTTATTAACCAATCACCAAAAAAAATTTAAGGGTATTAGTAGAATTTATGTATAGTAATGTAATGCTAATCAGTTTTATTGTTAGTTTTTTTTTGCTTTCTTCAAATAAAGATAAAGTCTGTTGTTGTTGGCCATGTGTTGTGTTTGTTTTTGGTAGTTGCAACGGTGGTGAATGAATTATTAAGGAAGAGTGGATGGTCAACTTTTGGGAAATGGCATGGGAACTTGTTTTTCCCTTTTTCTTTTTCTATTTGGACCATATATAGAAAAAATTATTCCAATTCAAAAAGTTATTTCGAGTTTTGACTCTTCCTGAATAAAAATCTTAACCTTTTCTTTTTGGATTACAATATTTTATTAAAATTATTCTAATTCAATCTATTTAAAAATTTGGCATAAAATAAAAAAAAATACTTTCGCTATCCCAAAAATATCTCTTTCCATAATTTTTTTAAAAGTTAAAATGAAAACATCTATATGAGACTATTTCTTTAGTGGATCTAAGAACTATACCAATTTTTTTGGACTTTATCCTAAAGAAGCAATTTTTTACTTTATTGTTACAAAATAATGAATTAAGATGATAAGCATTTCTATTGAAAAATTTACATAAATAGGACTAAAATATAATAATTTTCTCAATATGAGACTATATATTTTTAATGACTTGTATTCATCTCTTTAATCTCATTGATTTATTCATAGACAATTACTCTTTAGATCTCAAAATAGATTACACTGTTATTTTTTTGATCTTACGATAATTTTTTGTATACATTTCTTTATTGATTATTTGATAAAATAAAATATTATTGTCACATTTTATTTGATACTCTGGAATAGAATTTTTTATATAATTTTTAAATACATAAGTTGAATCTCTTTTCTATATTAATTTGTAAATAAAATAAATTTAAAAGTCATGGCATTTTGCATAATGTTTGGAGAGTGCAATCCATTGAAGCATAATGCGGTATTTGAAAAGAAATCTATCAAAATAAAGACTAAAACATAGAATTTATATCAAAATAGAAACTCTTACTATATTTTTATTGTTTAAATAAAAGCACTAATATTTTGAGATGTTACCATTTGGCATTATGTATAAACATTTGTAATATACTTTGGCATCATGTATTGGTATTATTTTCGCATTACAATATATTGAGTACATTTATATATGCACTCCACACAATGTTAGATGCACTCCCCATTTTTTAGACATTTATGTCTTTGTCTCAATTAAGTTTAATTAACTATTTTCTAAGCTTATTTTTGGTATTCATTTAATAAAATAAAATATTTTGTCACTTATTGTATAATATGATTTTTTTATGTAATTTTTAAATATGTAAGTTTTATTTTTAATTTATATACTAATGTTTGAATAAATGATTATAAACTTAAAAACTTTCTTTGTTTTACACAATTTGTAATCTATTATGGAACGGAGATATAACTTCTTAATAAACAAAAAAAATACATAGAACATTTTATAGAGAATAAAGAGTATAAAGATGCTTCATATGATATATACGTCTTTTTTCTTTAATAATGAGGGGTTTTTTATAAGTAAAATTACCCAAAATAATCCCAACTTTACCCGGTCTTTCAAAAATAATCCCACCTTTCACTGTGATGCATAATAATCCCAACTTTACTGAAATTTGCCAGTTTTGGGTTGCCGTTAAGTTTCTAACGGAGGGTTAACGGAAATGCCCGTTTTAGGCAACAAAATGAAAGTTGGGATTATTTTTGATGAATTTTCATTTTTTTTATTTTTTTTTTGAATTTTTCATTTAAATTTTTTTAATTACTTTCTACCTCCATCATCATTTCTGTTTCCTTTTTTAAAGATTAGTCATAGTTTAAAAAAATAAAAATAATAGATATAAAAAATGAAAAAATGAGAAATGTAACTAATTTGATACAAAAATAATAAAAGTAACTAACTTGAAATTGGTAAAAGTAAAATAAAAATATACGGGTGGGTTTGAATATTTTACGCATTATACAAAGTATTAGCATATCACTTCTTATTTTTTAGAAAAAATTATCTACAATAATTCTAACTTTACCGACGACTTGTTCTTTTAAAAAATAAGTTGTACATTAAGACTCCGTATAGTGTGTAAAATGTTAAAACTCACCGCTTCGTATATATTTATTTTATTTCTTACCAGTTTCTGTTTAATTTCTATTGATTATATTATTTATTTGATTAATTTTGTATGGTTTTAGTTATTTTTCACATTTTTATTATTTTTTATATCTATTTTTTTAAGGTGAGAATAATCTTTAAAAAATAGAAAGAAATGGAGGTTGAAAGTAATTCAAAAAATTTAAATAAAAAATTCAAAAAAAAAATAAAAAAAATGAAAATTCATCAAAAATAATCCCAACTTTCATTTTGTTGCCTAAAATGGACATTTCCGTTAACCCTCCGTTAGAAACTTAACGGCGACCCAAAACTGACAAAATTCAATAAAGTTGGGATTATTATACATCACAGTGAAAGATGCGATTATTTTTGAAAGACTGGGTAAAGTTGGGATTATTTTAGGTAATTTTTCCTTTTTTATAAGACCATGTGCTATCATGGGCTTGATGAGGGGCTTGACCACCGCCATGTAGGTGCCATGTGACATGTCCCTCCCATCAAGCACCCATCACTTGAGGGTATGTTATGGTGGGAGGCTTAATAGGGGCTTGACTTTTTTTAATTGTTTTTGTTTTGTACACAACTTTTTCGTTAAAAAATTACGAATACAAGTTTTTACTTCTAGAATGTCGATGTCTTCATAATTTTGGCACATGTCTTTTTCTTTATCTTCTAAAATCATGTTATGCAGAATAGTGCAAGTGTACATTGCATTCCTAATTTTGTTATTTTCCCACATACGGCATGGATTGCAAATGATATCTCATTTTTGTTTAAGAACACCAAATGCTCTTTCAAAGTCTTTTCTCGCAACCTCTTGTGCCTTCTTGAGATGCACTCTTTTCTCGTCCTTCGCGCGGGGCATGTAAATGATTTCACAAGTGTGGCGTACTCGGGACGAATAACATCAGCAAGATAATATCCATATTTGTAATAAGAGCCATTGCAAATAAAAGAAGGTGAATGTGCAACACCACCATAAACATCATCAAATACCAGAGACTGGCCGAGGACATTGATATCGTTAAATGATCTTGCAACGCCAAAGTTTGCATGCCATATCCAAAGATCAGCTAAAGCGACCGCTTCGAGCATTAACATTAGACTTCGGTGATCACCTCGTTGATGTGACCCTCGCTAAGCCGTGGGGCAGTTTTCCCAGACCCAGTGTGTACAATCAATGCTTCTGAGCATCCCAGAAAAATTGTGCACGTGTTCATGGACGTCATGTACATACGTTCAGAATGATGTATTAAACTTAAAATCATGTATATACGTTGGAGTTAAAAAAAATTACCTTTACAAAAATGGTAGAGATTATCACGAGAAACTTTGTCTGACATCTTCAAATATTCATCTCATGGAATCGTCTGTCATTCGTATGCAAGTTGCCGGATAGCGCTTGTGCACTTCTGCATCAAAGTGAATCTCTTTGTTCCCGTAGCATCTATCCATTATTGAAAAATGGGGAAATGCTCCTCCATGTCACTGAGAATAGAATTGAATAAAATGTGACGCATTTGGGAACAACGTTTAAATTGATCATCGTTACTGGAGTTTCAGAAAAAAATCTTTAGTAAGGCACTGGTTGATCTTTCTCCGATGAGTAATCTCTTGTGAAGAACTTTCATTAGAAATAACAATGATAGTGCTGCAAAGCAGAAACATAAGAGTTGAATCATCCTAGTCAGAAGACGAGAACTGAGTGTTTCCTTCATCCAATTTCATTTTTTTATGGAATATGTAGTGGAGTTATGAGGTTCCCGCTCATATCTACTTGATTTATAGATTTTTTAGTCTTAACGGCTATTTTCGAAAATTAAAAAAGGCCTTCAACGGCTACAATGTTGTTGCCCAACAGCTTCTTTCTCGGAAAACAGGGCAGCAACGCCTGTGGAGGCCATCCAGCCCCATGCATTACGCCTCCACGCTGGCTGTGTCAGCGTGACGGGCACAGTGACACTAGCACTCAAGCAACATAACACATGGCCTAAAAAGGACAATTGTGTCATTTCCCAAATCAAAGGTAAATAGGTGGAGTGTAGTTAAGATATATGGAGTGCATTTATCAATTGCCATTTCTTCCTTGTATATATGATCTTTATACTTGGTAAAAAAAATTATTTTACGCATGATTTACAAGACCAAGTCTACAATAGTACAATCAATGGCTAACTCTTTTGTTGATCATGTGTTTGAATATCAACTCATTGGAGAAAAAAAAAGAAACGCATAAGAGGAACAAAAACCTCTCAAGTAAAGTCCGACAGAAGTTCCGTTGGACAGTAATATGACATTGGTTTTCATTGTCAAAAGACCCATTTGGCCACACATAATACATGGGATGATCAACAAACCCGACCTCGGACAGCAAAAGGAGAAGGGTCTACTTTCCCAGGATTCCCTAGCACCATATCAACTATCATTTCAGCAGTTCCTGGAGCCTATCAATAAGTTTTTTTTAAAAAAAAAAAAAGAGTTATTAGCATCCTGCAAAACCCATTTATTTTGAACCTACAGTTATATTTGTTGCCATACATTCCCTCCGTCTAGAAATGATCTTACCATTTGACTTTTCTTTTGTCAAAGTTTGTAAACTTTGACTCGATATTTGGAAAGAATCCTTTGTTTCGATATAAATATAATATCAATAGTTTCCTTATGAAACGTAGTTTTGAAATATTAAATTTTCATAAAATATATCCATGTATAAATGTAGATATTCATGGTCAAAGTGTTACCCTGGAGACCGTGAAAAGTCAAATTAGAAGATCATTTTCGGGCAGAGGGAGCAAAACATAAGCTATATGATTACCAGTGAGAGCCCTTCGCCTTCGTGTCCAGCCGCCACAAAGAGGTTGGAGAATCCAGGCACAGGGCCGATGACCGGCTTCCCATGAGCCGCTTCACAAGTTTCAACCCAATTTCCAATCAACCATTAAGGCAGCCATGTAATGTAGTTG